CGCTTAAATTGCCGGTACAGTTCTCCTGCTCGAGTCTCACCTGTCAATATAAATCGTTTGTAGTGCTTATCCCTTCTATTCTTTAAGTTTTTTAAACCTTTTGTGTACCAGGGAAGCCTATAGGATCTTCGTACCCTCACAGGGTACCACAGGGTACAGGTGAAATCGCCAGCTACCATCAAAGCGGTAGGGTCCGACGTTCTAGCACAGACACTAGTGATGTTTTCCATATGCGCATGATATATATATACTGAATGCGCTGTTCGGAGGGATGTATGATGCAATGATGACGAACGGGCCATGGACGCCCTGGATTGAGACCGCAAGCTGATCCAGTAAAGGGTCGGCCACCGGAAGGCGCAGTGGTGTAGCCTGAAGAGATCGACGGATAGCGATGATCACACCTCCACCTCGCTCACACTGGGTACTGAATGCATCTCGGTCCTTTCGAAATACATGGTACAAATTAGGCTCGAAGAACTCAGAGGAGCTGAATTTGTCATTGAGCCAGGTTTCCACAAGGATGATTACATCAAAATCGCAGGCAGAAGAATTGAGGAATACCATCCGGGTCTTGGTTCTCATTCCCGATATATTTTGGAATAGAACTTTTAGGCTTTTATTAGGGTTCAAGGACGACGAGTAGCTACAGTCCAAACTGGGAATTGGACGGCAAGGCGGTGATGGTGAAAGTGCACTCCTGGTACTGGTGCATGTGGAGGCATATCCAATACGCATAGTTTGCAAAATAGCCGACAAGGACACATAGAAATTTCCATTAGACTCATCAGTAGACCTGCGAGAGTCCAGTAGCAAGGCAGATTCCGTGCCAGGTGAAAACATTGAGCGTTCATATTCAGGCACATCCAAACGCAGCAAAGATCCACCCACGGGTCCAAAACGTAAATAAACATCTTCCATCGGCGAAAAGAAAGCACCAGCGAGTGGCCCAACGAAAAGAGATAAGATAAGCGATGCGCTGCCAACGTCTCGATTACCATCGTCTTGTTGTTGCTGGGCATCCACAAGTGAAGATAAGAAATAAACAACTCGCCTTGAAAAAAGTTGTTGTTGTTGAAGAATATAGATCAGCAAACGAAGCCAATTATTGGAGGAATTGAAGACAGCGTCAACCGTTACCATGAACGCCCACGCCGATTGTTGTTGGTAGCGCAGCAGAGAGCAATCGGGGTGGCGAACTGCAGCTTGAGAAGAAAACGATGTAACGGCGCCAGCGGCGCCGCTTACTGGGGGTTTTTTGAAGATTGCGAATGCGGTAAAGGTAGAATCGCCGGGAGGTCAATAACCTTAGCCGGCTCTCTATGAACAAACCGGCTGACTTTTACCGACATAGGCCAAAAATCGTCATTGAAGACTGTTGGGAAATTTTGCTCCGGAACTCCCAATTTAAAATTGACGAACTTGAGGGCGTTGATGTCAGCATCCTTTTTGATCAGCCTAGCACAGACTAAATCATTGGGCTCCACGTTCAGCTTATCTGCGACAAATTTGCACAATGCATCCGGTTGGGTGGACGTCGCGAATTTACCCACATGAAGGTATTTCAAGGTGGGAAGCACTTGAAGTTGAGCGCAACTGGGAGCTTGTCCCAGAATGCGCCTATTAGGGTTGATCCGCTTCTTCTTCTTCGGGACAGCCCCCTTAGATGCCGTTGGGGCCTGCCCCAGAGTAGCCTTTAATCCCCATTCCCATCCCCATTTCCATTGGTTTGAAAATAGCTTTCTAGATCATAAGCTTTATCGATCGCGACACGCTGTAAATAAACGCCAGCTTTTGTTGTTAATAACTCGGAGTCATTGCATGGGCTACGCTCAAATCGATTGACCAGAAATTACAACCTCAAATGTATTATCCTGTATTATCCTTTTTAGGAAAACCGATGGCCTAGAGAAAGAGAGAGAGACAGTCGTCGCACTAACTCAAAATTCCACAAAACTTTCGAAACCAATTGCAAAGTTCTGCCATTTTTTAGCTGCAATCTCCTTGTTTCCGGAATCGGAGGTAACAGCTTTTCCAGCGCAAATTCGAGATGTTCATTCTCTATATAAATGTATAAACCATATCTACCGCACATGTGTCCAAACATATGCCCATCCATCGGATCGGGGAAGGAGGTTGCCTGTATGTTATCCCCATCCTCCATAAACGTGCATAATATAACTTAGTCTAAGGCGCATTCGCAAAAACCAAATAAAAGTACTATTATAATTTTTAATAAACAAATCAAAGAACAGCATACACTTTTTAATTGGTAGGGGCATCAATAGATATAATTTGGATGGGTGGTGATTGAAGGGTTATTCAACCTTTCATTAACAGAACCCTAATGAACTACTACTTCTCTTCACGTTTGGGTTATTGGGACACGAAAGCCCAGAAGATTTGCTTGGTTATACAACGCAATAATTAACACCGAACCACCCCGTTTTGGATCAAAATCGATGACGTTTCGGATCGATGTTGCTCAATTGTCATTCTCAAGCGGTTCGGCGTGTCACCGAATGCCATTAGTCAAAATTATAGCTATTTGTATGCGCACACTCTATGTCGGAGGTCCAATAAAAAACGGTCGGGGGTCTCTGGGGGGATCACCCACCTATCACCACCTGTAGCGTGGCTCTTTCTTTCTTTCGCCAGGGAGCCGATCAGACCGCAATCATTGAGTACTACGCGTAACAATAGATCGATCGTCCAAACCCAAAGCGGGCAACACGTCCGTCCGGCTTATAAAAACGCGATTGCCCGACAATTGGCTAATCAAAGTGCTGACGGATTTCATCGCGTTCGGTTTAAGTTTCGAGCTCGAACTGGTCAAGGATATAACAACATGTTGACTTGGACATTATGGTGTGGATTATTGTTCCTGTTGTGGTTTTATTTCCTGTGGAGTCGGCGACGGTTTTATCTGCTCACCCTTCAGATACCAGGGCCACTTGGATATCCACTTTTGGGCATGGCCCATTGGCTTTGGCACAGGGAAGGTGCGATTTAGATCATATGTTTAGTATATATAGTTAAATATATCTATGACTGGAACCGATTTCAAATCAATTAAAATGGTTAATGGATCGTGAAGTTAACTTGTGCCGTTCTATAACATAGATATCCTAAATGCCTTTGGCTACTATTTGGACAAGCATGGCCCCACCATTTTCTCCTGGCTGGGACCTATTCCCTTTATGATTGTAAGCGATCCCCAGGTGGTGCAGGACATCCTGACGTCGCCGCACTGTATCAACAAAGGAATCATCTACAAGGCAGTGGACGACGGAGCAGGCACTGGACTCTTTAGCCTAACAGGTATGTGTTTTGGCAGGGATTTTGAAAGGTGTTTAATTGACTTAAACACCACGCAGACCCCCGTTGGAGCATTCACCGAAAGCTGCTTAATCCTGCCTTTGGCCACAAGGTCCTCCTCAGTTTTCTGCCCATTTTCAATAAGGAGACTACCCTTTTGTTGGATAATTTAAAGCCGCTACAGGAAGATGGTGAGAAGAACCTAATACCCCTGCTACAAAGCTTCACCCTGGGAATAGCCACTCGTGAGTATATACATAATATATGATTATATGACCTATGATGACTTTTATTTTGTAGAAACTACAATGGGAAGCGATGTGAAGAGCGAGGAGAGCTTCCGGAGTCACTCCCTGCTGGAGCGGTATCAGTGGTGAGTGTTTCTGGAGTCGGACCACTTCTATGCATTAGAAGTGTTCTGGAAACCATGACAGATATGTGCTTCTCGCCGTGGCTCAACAGCCGTTGGATCCGCCAGCTGGCAGGAAAGGAATCCCATTACTACCAGGCCAAGACCGAAATCCGGCAGTTTATCAGAAAGGTTAGAGCGATCGGATATTAGTGAGCAACAAACTCAATCTTTTAAACCTTTCAGCTTATTGAGAAAAAGCTGAATGAGGACGAGGAGAAGGAGGAAGCTCTATTGGCTACCATCCAATCTAATGACCAGAAAAATATATTCCTCAATCTCGCGACCGATTTGCTTAGAAGGGGAGTTTTCAGTTGGAAAAACATGGAGGATGAATCAAACATAATTGTATTTGGTGCCTTCGAACACCGTTTACTATACTTTAATGCTTCTTGCCATGTTTCCGGAATACCAGGAGAAGGCCTTCGAGGAGATCAAAAGCCTTTTTCCCAAAACGGGTGATTTTGAGGTGACCTATGGGGATACTCAGCAAATGGTTTACCTCGATCTGATTCTCAACGAATCGATGAGAGTTGTGCCCCCAGTTCCGGTCGTATCTCGCCAAACTTCACAGGACCTAAAGTTATCCAACGGTATAGTGATACCCCAGGGTGTTCAGATTGCCATTGACATGTTTCACATGCATCGCAGTAAACAGATATGGGGTGAGGATGTCGAGACCTTCAATCCCGATCACTTTCTTCCACACAATATCCAGGACAAGCATCCTTATGCTTACATACCCTTCACCAAGGGCATCAGGAATTGTATAGGTAATGAACTATTTCTACATTTTTTTCGGAAAAACTTCAATTAAATTTCATAACTTTTTAGGTTGGAGATATGCCTTGATATCGGCCAAGGTGACTTTGGCTAAGCTATTAAGAAATTACAAGTTTAAGACCAGTTTTCCATTTGAGGATCTTTACTTTGTTGAAGATATAACTATGAAGCTGAAAACTGTGCCACCACTGGAGCTACAAACGAGAAACTAAATGGCTGTTTTGTTTGCTGACTTGTTATAAAAATAAAAAAAAATTTAAAAATAAATTCAAATTATGTTTGAGTATTTAGTTGTAATATTAAGTTTTATTTAGTAGAAATGGCTTTTTAACACCAGTGCTTAGAAATAAAATTCCAATGTACATTGAAATTTGAATAAAATGGTTTAACGGTTTCGATAGAATTATCGATATCACGTTGGCAATGCGATAAGTCGCAATCGTTTATAGTGTGACCAGCTTCAGTTCGTCCATTTTCCAAAACACAGTGTTTTGTTTTAATTCCATTTCCTCGCGGTTTTTTCATTTCTTTAAGAATGTCGCTTACGGATTGCTTTGAACTAAATAAAACAAAGCTCTTCGAGAAGATCCGCGATGGGCTGCCCATCGTGCAGAAGACGCAGAATCTGCTGGACTGCAAGGACGACATGCTCTTCGCCTGGGACGAAAAAGAGTGCTGTTTGCTGGTGCGCAATTGGCGGACACCGCTGACGGAGACGGCCGGTGCCAAGCGTGCCGGTGTTCAGTACCAGACCCTGATTCCCTCCAACACTATAAACCTGGACGTGGACCGGGTGCTGGTTTCCAACGAGGGCTCCCTGGTGGCCCTCAGTGGCGAGCATGGCGTCTGTATCATGGAGCTGCCGCGACGCTGTGGCCAGGATGGTTACTACAATGATGGAAAGGAGCGGATCATTTGCCGCAGCTTCAGCCTTGATAGTCAGCTTTTTCTCAACAACCTGAAGCTGAAGGTGTGTCAAGTGAACTGGCACCCGTACTCAGTCTCCGATTCAACTCTACTCGTCTTGTTTAATAACAACACAATTCGGGTGTACAATCACTCCCAGCTTCGCTATGTCTGGAAAGTGGGCCCCTCAATTGTACGTGTTGGTGGCAACAGCTCCCTCACAGATTTTGGCGAAGTGGCTGTAGACTTCGATATAGCACCTGCTGCCAAACCCAAGGAGGCTGAGACTCTGGAGGAAAAAAGCCATACCTTGAACCAAAGCAACAAAAGCTTGCAGAACAAAACGAGCGCCGTAAAGCTGGAAAGGATTGAGTGGCCTGTGATTGTGCTGCGTGAAAATGGTAACATTTACGTCCTCATGACTAGCGTAGATTCGGAATTGGTCCGCCTGCAGGGTCCCATAACTATTACACCTCAGGTTCAAGATAACTACGGCCTGGAATCCTGTGCCCTTATGGTTTTTCCGTCTTTACCCCCAACTATTGTTATAGCCGAATCCAATGGAAAGATTCATCATGCTCTACTCATGGATGCGGAAGCTTCCGAGCACTCCTTCAGCGAGGTGGATGATTTCGTTCTTATTGAACCTTCCCAATACGTTATTCACGTTCTGGAAACTGTTAAGCTTGAGCTTGGATTGGCGGCACCGTCCCAAAAAGGTGCCGTAAACCCTTTATATCTGAAGAGGGATCTGATCAACGAGCTGCGCTACTTTGCCTACCATGATGCCGGTCTCCACGTAGTGTCCGTAAGCTTCATAGCGGAGTTGCAACGCTACTTGGAGAGCGAATCCGAAGAGGATTGCTTGGAATTGACTGCCTCTTCCACAGCCGAGTACATCTTGTGCACCAAATTCGAGTCCAGTGATCGTGTGAACCCAGTCTTCGGATTAGCCCTGCTGCAAATGCCAGCCGGTGTAGTCCTTCTGCTTGGCAGTGGACAGGTGATAAGCCTTAAGTTGGTTATTGATGCAAAGCTGCTGATGACGCCCAGTGAGAGCAAAGCCATCACCTTGGATTCAGATCTACAGGACTGCGGAACAACATTCGTGGATACCATCAAATCGCTGCTTCAACGCAGTGTAAACCAACCCATTCTGGCGGATAAACTTGCCGCTCCATCCGCTCACGAAAGCTATGAGCTGCTCAACCAGGCCATCGAGGTGCTGAGGGAGCAGTATTTGAAAAGACACGACTTGGTTAGGGCTGCCTTTGCCCGTCATATCATATCGGAACGTTCTGACGGCTGGTCACATATAAGCACTTTGCATTTTTTTTTTCCTAAACTGTCAACAAAAAAAAAAAAAAAAAGAACTTTCCATTTTAAAAGTTGCAACTTTGCAACATCGAAGAAGATTCTGCGTAGGCGGAGGAATTTCAAAATTTCCCCTTAAGTCAAAAATGCCCCACTCAGCCAGGGCAATGACCCTGCGCTCTGATGCGGCTAATAATAAAAAAAGAAAAACATCGGATCCAGAAATTTCTCAAAAAGTTCAGGAAGAAATGGACATCTTGGAGTCAGAAGAATGCAACGATAATGTTTTACAGCAGACTTTGATCAACGAGCAGGATACAAATGTCATCAACATCAACGACAATGACAACATCAACATATCCAAACCACAGCAAGTACCGCTTAGCTATAAAAGCAATCATAAAGGTCCTTATTTTGTTTATATTGACAAACTCACTAACGGTGACAGTACTAGAGAGAACCGTGAACCTATTAATGCCCTCGAACTAAATGCAACTATTTTTAAGCTTAAACTTAAAGATATAGTAAAATTCAATAAAATAGGCTACGGGCGTTGTAAGGCAGAGTGCAAGACAGCTAAAGCAGCTAATAATTTATTAAATTCTGATTTAAAAAAAGAGGGCTACGACCCTAAAATTCTTAAGCATTTTATTTTTAAAACTGGTATCATTTTTCAAATTCCAATTAAATTTACTACTGAAGATTTAAAAGAATTTATTTCATCCCCAGTGCCTATTCACGAAATTATTAGAGTAAATAGAAAAAATGAAAACAAAGAATTTGTCCCCACGTCCAGGGTTAAGATTATTTTTGAAGGCTCCCAGATTCCAGAAGAAATTGACTTCCTTTATACAAAGGTCAAAGTGGAACCTTATGTTCCTTTTAGCCAATGTTTTAGGTGCTTCAGATTTGGGCATTTTGCTCAACACTGTAAGCAGTCTGAAGAGAAGTGTCGCAATTGTTCCCTTTCTCATCCAAGAGAAGAGACATGTACGACACTTAAATGTATTAACTGCCACTTCTCCCACACCGCTACCTCACTTGAATGTCCGGCAAGAAAAAGAGCGTTTGCCATACAGAAATGTATGACATCGCAAAACCTATCTAGAGTGGAGGTTAGAATAAGATATCCTGCTCTTTTTGATAAACTAGCTCCATCCTCTCCTGAGATTTTTAATACCACCGAATTCCCTCTACTAGAAACCCCTAAAAATTCTGCATCCCCGGTTTTGCAGGATAACTCTAAACTAGCTGCTGAATCTATTCACAAATATTTACCCTACAACAAAATGGCTAAAAATTATAAAAACAAGTCAATCGAAGGAAGAAAGTCGCAAGAGACGATGTCCAATTGGAAACAAATTATAAAAGATCACGAAATTACTCTTGAGGAAAGATTTGTTCCCCATCAAGGGGCTCCTCTTTCCAATCAACCGGCTGATTCTAGCTCTTTGCCACCTTCAGCCAGTTCTTATCAGAACTCAGCCTTGGAAACAGCTGAGAACAGCTTAATCAACATTTCTTCGGAGATTGCCTCCTTCCTTTTAATAGACAATCCGAACAACTCAGGTAATACCAGATCTTTTCTCGAATCCTTAAGGGATATTATAGCCAAAGCCAACTCTGAAATCGATATTAAAAAAATGAAATCTTTAATGTCTTAATCTCTCATCATGATTAAGCCTATAAAAATACTTCAATATAATATTCAAAGCTTAACTTCACAAAATAACAAACAGTTGTTGGAACTTTTTCTTATAAATAACAATATTGACATTGCCATTCTATCTGAAATTTGGGTAGTGGATAATGCCATGTGTAGTCTAGCAAACTATAATTTTATTTGCAAGCCTCGTGAGGATGGTTATGGGGGCGTAGGGATTTACGTGAAAAAGAATAACAATATAAAAATCCTAAGTATTAACTCAAAAATCGAATCTATCGGTATATCAACTAAAAACCTTAGGCACAACTTTAACATATTCAGCGTATATGCCCCACCTAATTTGAGCATACATGATTTTAAAGCAGGACTCAAGGAAACTATATCCTTAGCTGCTAAACTAAATGGTCCCTCGTTAGTGGGGGGCGATATTAATGCCAAATCGCCCATATGGGGCAGCCTCATTCAGGACAACAAAGGTATGGCAGTGGAGGAAGTACTTTTATCCACAGGTTTTTTTTGTATTAACGATGGTTCTCACACCTATTCCACTAACCCTACTTCCAGTTCAGCTCCTGACGTTTCGTTTGTTAATAAAAATTCCCTTTCTCCTATTTGGACTACTGCAAACTCTAAAATCTCTAACAGTAACCATTTTCCAATAATTATTGAATTATTAAATGTCCCATCCACTATCACCTTACATAAAACCTTAACGGAAAAAGTTATAAAAGATTTTTCCAAAATTAATATTAGCTCTCTTGACAGTTTATGTAGCACAGCTAAGGACATAATAAAAAAAACACTATAAATCTCAATGAAAATAATAAATATGTTCCAAAAAAGTATTGGGATAATACTTGTGAAAAGCTTTTTAGATTAAGGAATGCATGCAGACAAAAATATTATAAAACCAAATTGACATCCGATGCAGTATTGTATTTAGAGTCAAATAAAAAACTAAACAATTATTTTTATAAAGTTCGCAAAGAAAACATGAATACTCTAGCTGACTCGTTATCGAACACCCAGTCTCCAAAAGAGTTATGGGAAAAAATCAAAGCCTTAAAATATTATAGACAAACTAAACCCACACCTAAACTTTTTGACGACCAGGATCATCAAATTTTTGTTCAGCAAATTGCAATAGCTCCTGACACCCCAGGCTGTATAAATTATAATTTCCCCAATTTTGAACTTGGATCCATAAATAGAAAATACTTTTCTCCTAATGAAGTCTTAGACTTTCTTAAGACTCGTAACCCAAATTCTTCGAAGGGATTGGATAACATTTCTTATAGTATGCTTCTATCTTTACCACCCGAACAAATTCAAAATTTTGTTTCCATGTTGAATGATATTTTTAACGAAGGCCAAATACCCGATATATGGCAAAAAATTAAAATCGTACCTGTTCCAAAAAAAAATTTAGATTCCTCTATCATTACTAACAATAGACCTATATGTTTGTTAAGTGTAGTCTTTAAGTGCCTTGAAGGTCTTGTTAAAAATAGCTTAGAAGAACACATTACATAAAATCAATTTCTTCCTGACAGGTCTTACGCCTTCAGGAGAAACCGCTCAACAACACAATGCATTAATGATGTGATTAACAATGTTGCTAGTCTTAAAGCCAAGGGCTTTCATGTTTTGGCAGCAGTACTGGACCTGAGCAAAGCCTTTGACTGTGTCAATATCTCCATTCTTTGCAAAGCTCTTGTTGATTTTGGTTTCAACCACCGCTACATTAATTTCATTATTGAGTTTTTGAGAAAAAGAATCCTGGTCTTGGGAAAATCCGAGGTCATTGTAAGCAAAGGAGTTAGTCAAGGAAGTTGCCTCAGTCCTATTCTTTTTAATCTGTACACAACCGTCCTTCATACTATTATTGATCAAAAAAGTCTACTTTTTCAATACGCGGACGATTTTTTTCTTATTGCTTTTGACAAAGACTTCATGACTGCAAGAGAAATTCTTGAACAAAAGGTGAATCTTTTTAAAGAAACTTGTGATACGATTAATTTAACTTTTAATCCCTCCAAATCATCTGTGATACATTTTAATAATAGGAGACGTTCTTTAAATATTATGTGCAACAATCTAGTGATTAAGGAAGTTGACCATGTTATTTACTTAGGAAGAACCATTTGTACTAACAACTCCTCTATCAATCATGTTAGACACACGCTTGCTAAGGCGAATAAAACAAATATGTTTTTAAATATGCTTAGTGGTTGCCGCTTCGGTATCCACCCCAGCGTAGCTCTTAAGTTTTTTAAAGCCTTCGTTAGATCCAAATACGAATATGCATGCTCTACCTTTGCTAATATCTCGAAGACTGTTACATCTACCTAAGGAAATCCCTTGGACTATTAAAATCCACTCCTGTAAATATTATTTACCACCTAGCAGCAGAACTCCCCCCTGCCTATAGAATGAAATTTGCTACAGCTAAGGAATTAGCTAAAATTTTCACTCTTAATCTCCCAGCTGCTTTACTACTTAAAAACAACTTCGCCGCCAAAAACACTACTTATATCAAAACATACTTAGAATTTAAAGCAGAGGTCGGCACCCCAATACATTGATATGATTTTACCGCATTAGTGTTAGTAACGTATAGCAGAAAGTAGGCTTTGAGCATGACGTTTCACACATTTATACTGTGTGTGTGTGGCAGAGCTCGGGCAGAGAAATTTCCTATGCCCCCGAGATAGGGCCGTGCCGACCTCTGATTTAAAGACATTTTTGATTCTTTAACCTATGTAGATTGCTCATTTTCTAAGCCTCGGTTTTTAACATTTGATTCAAATTTTTTTAAGGGTTCTTGTCATAACAAGAAATCTAGCAGCCCTGACGTGGTGGACATTCTTTTTAGAGAAAAACATAGTTTATTAACTAGCCAAAATTTCGAAATAATTTACACGGATGGCTCTATTAGAGATAATTTCACTGGGTGTTCCTTTTATCATGTCAATAGTAACACAACTAAAAACTTTTATATGAATAAGAAGTTCTCTTCACTTACTGCAGAGCTTACAGCCTTAGAGAAAGCCATTGAATTTGCAATTGACCAACATATTACAAGGGTAGCTATCCTAACGGATAGTTTGGGTGCTATTCAAGCCCTTCAAAAGCGGAATTCTTCTAATCGCATTGTGGGTGAAATACTCAGAAAAATTGACAACAATATATTGGTTATTCAACTACATCATATTCCGAGCCATTTGAATATTAAAGGAAATGAAGTTGCTGACTCTGCTGCAAAAAACGCCAATACCTTGGGATCTTATCTAAATATCAGATACACGATCAATGATGCTATCACTCACATCTTCAACAGAATTAAAACTGATTGGGAGCGCGACTATAATTCTTTTTGCATAGAAAGGAATAAAGGATACTGTCTTCTATATCCATATACCTTACCCAAACCATGGTTCCAATCGGAAAACTGCAATCTTAATAGATTGCAGATCAATCAAATTAATAGAATCCTCAGCGGTCATTCTTTTGATAAATATACCCTATACAAACTTAAAGTCCATGACAGTCCCAATTGCGATTGCAATTTCAATACTATAGAGGATATTTCACACATAATTTTAAATTGTTCCAAATACGATAATATTCGTAGGAACTTCCCGCTCCTTCTAAAATACGATAACATTTATCGATTTTTTCTCAAGAATCAGTTGAAAATTACAGCTCAATAACTAATTTCATTAAACTGGCTAATATAGATTTATAAGGCGCCTTTTAACTTCTTTATGTCACTGGAGATAATTAATACTATTAACTATGGATAACTATTAACAACCAGCATGTGCATGTATTAACACGGTCACTTTAAATAGTTGACTATCGCATCTATCTTCATTATCGTTTATTTCCCATCCACATCATCAAGCCTCAAGTCATATTAATATAAATAATTTGTTCACATTGTGATAACAAGTATCTTGAAATTTTTTAATTTCACACATAGGCGTTGGCGTTTACCCGTCTTCACGGGACGGCCAAGGAATTCTTCCCCCTCTACCGAGCTGGGAAGTAACTTAATTTACAAAAAAAAAAAAAAAATGGCTGAAGCTGAGGCTAAAGTGGAGAAAAAACCGGAGGTGAAAACGCCGCTCGGCCTAAAGGCCATCATAGACCACTTGTCGCAGGTGTACCCCGAGCAGCCGAATCCGCTGCAGGTCACTACCTTGCTGAAATACTGGTTGGGCGGCCAAGATCCATTGGACTACATCAGTATGTACAACCATCCCGGGGACATGGATAGGAATATTCCGCCCCACTGGCACTACATTAGTTTCGGACTGAGTGACCTACACGGCGACGAAAGGCTCCACCTGCGCGAGGAGCAGGTCACCCGCTCGGGCATGGGATTCGAGCTAACTTTTCGACTCGCCAAGACCAGAGCCGAGCTGCACCAGCAGTTGGAAAACCCGGAGAAACCGCAGCGTCCACCAACCTGGCCGGCAAACCTACTGCAATCTATCGGTCGTTACTGCTTCCAAACTGGCAATGGGCTTTGCTTTGGCGACAACATCCCCTGGCGCAGAAGTCTTGATGGCAGTGATACCTCTAAACTGCAGAGCCTTCTTGTGGCCCAGGATCCCCAGCTAGGATGTATAGAAACACCTTTTGGCACTGTGGACTTCTGCCAGATCGTTGGTGTGTTTGAAAACGAATTGGAGCAAGCTTCTCGATGGAACGGGCGTGGCGTTCTAAACTTTCTTCGGCAGGATGTGGAAACTGGAGGCGATTGGCTGGTGACAAATATGGACCGAAAAATGAGTGTCTTTGAACTCTTTCCAGAAACTCTTCTTAACCTGCAGGACGACCTGGAGAAGCAGGGCTCTGATCTGGCTGGTGTCAATGCGGACTTTTCCTTTCGAGAGTTGAAGCCCAAAAAGGATGTGAAGGAGGAGGTTGACTTTCACGCACTGAGCGAGAAATGCGCCAACGAGGAGAATAACCGTCCCTTGAACGAGTCACTTTTCAAGCGCGAGGAGCCGAGTTTCCCCCAATCCATGTCGATGAGCAGTAATTCTCTGCACAAGTCCTGTCCGCTAGATTTTCAGCCTCTAGCTCCCAACTGCATCTCCTTAGATGGCATTGAAATAACCCTGGCGCCTACCGTGGCTAAGTACTTACTTCTGGCCATCAAGGATCGCATCCGGCATGGACGACATTTCACATTTAAGGCCCAACATTTGGCTCTCACGTTTGTAGCGGAATCGGTCACTGGATCTGCAGTCAGTCGGAATGAGCCCTATGGGGTCCTTGGATATTGGGTTCAGGTACTGATTCCTGAGGACCTGGTTCCACGCATGCTGGAAGACTTCCGAGGTGCAGGCTTGAACGAGACCTGCGAACCAACCCAAAGAATCGAGCTAGAGTGGCCCGACAAGAACCTGAAGCTTATCGTGGACCAGCCGCCACCAGTTCTCCCACCCCCCGTTCTGCCCATGTCACTGGACGCATCATCACTGAAGATTTCCTAGCTAGTATTAGTATTATTTTAACTTAATCAAACTGAATCTTCCACTAACAAGTAAGTTTTACATGTATCCATTCGACCATCTAACACAATGCACGCGCGGCCTTTGCTTCCAGTCTCCAGGAGTCCAGCCAAATATATATATCCATGCAATCCAAAAACACTTCACCTGCTTTTGAACCCAGCCGCATTGGGAGAAGAAGCGCCGGCGCCATTGGCAAAAGTGAACAATGCCCCGGTTGAGTCAGTTTGGGGTCAGCTTTTTGAGTGCGGCATCGTCGTCTTTGGTGGCTGCGGCGGATATGACCACTTGACGGCCTGTGGATGTCAACGCCACCACCTAGCCACACATCAATTGATGGCTCTGCGCACTGCGCAGTGTGCAGCGAGATGCTTCAGTTTCTAACTCTGAGAATTGATCAATTAGAAGCGTTTTTAATTTCTGCAAAAATCCCAGCCTTGAGATCATGTGATTTGTCTGAAGCCGGAGGTGGTGGCCAAAGATGACCCTGGACCATTGGAGCGCTGGTGCAGCTGTAAGCGTCGAGTTTGTTTTTGTGCCCATCTTCGCCTGGTTGCCTAGGTGAATTTTTGTTTACCGCAGAGAACGCTGAACGCCGACGCTGTGGTCTCTGGTCTCAGTCGCTCCGATTAGCCACCTCAAGTGAGCGGAGCAGAGCCGAGCGAGGCGAGACAAATTATTTTTCCTTTTGCGAAAACCACTCGTGGAAAATAATTCAGTTTCTTCATTCCGCCGCCGACGACACAAGCGCTCGGTTGTGTTCCCGCTCGCAAGTTCTTGAATTGCCATTTGCTCGGACGCGAAGTTGACATCTTGAGTGGCGGTTCGCGTTCGAATTGAATACGAAGTGAATTCGATTCGGAGTCTTCAAGTGGATCTTACGAGACTGGAGTCCGGGCTTACACGTAGGTAATTGGAGGTGGAGCCAGCCTGGCGGCGGTTGCATAATGGCACGAACCGGTGACCTTCGATTTCGGCAGTGACCCCCCCGCTTCTGGGGGCGGTTATTCCGGCGTCGTCATCGAGCGGACACGTGCACGGGCTTTGATAGTGCGAAAAAGTTCTGCGATAGCCGCCACAATTCGCTTCATTGTTGGGGGCTAGCGGTAGCTCGCATTACATTGAGGTTTTGCCATTGCTGCCCGTCCCCGGGGGGCGGCAAAAAGAAAAACGCTTGCAGAACAGAGCATGGCAATGAACCGTAGAACGTAGATACGTATATCTACAGCCCTCTGCCCCCCAAAATACGCCGTGCATTCGCCAAGGGCGTGCATATCTGAAAAATGCGACAAATTTTAGTTATCGCAGTGTAATGCAATCTTCAATCTGCAATCTGCGCAGCTAAATACTACAAAAATTATGCTACAACGTTGCTGACCAGATATTGAGTCAGGGAATTGGAATGGGGAGGAATGTATTATATATCCACAAGTATTTGGCTTATGAAACGAATGTCAACGGTTTCTAATTTAAAACTTATTCATTAATTTTCTTTGTTTACTCAGCCCTGTAATGGGATACATGGATCGAGTTGCTATTTTTCCAATTTGTTACCTTGTAGTTATTTAAATAGTTTCAAACCTATAGCCCTAGTTACGGTTGCCATTCCATACGATTTTTGAACTTTCAAGCATAAGTAACATTCTTGATAATCGTTATCTTTAAACTTTTGGAGAATGAATCAATTGTTTTGAATAAAAATTAAATAAAATCAGACTTTTGGAAAGTCGTACTCTCCCTTTATGTACTTTCCTATCTTGGTGCCTCGTATAGTTGGGTGTAGGGATTACTGGCAATGTAAACTGCATTCCCATTTGGAGGAGGGACAAACAGCGATAAACGTGCCCAAATATTTAGCTAGCCATAATTCGCCGGGATGGGGAAATTCGGACCATATACTGGTATCGTCTGGGAACATTTCGGTGCATTGTGGCTGACTGATTACGGGAGTACATCCACTGATCAGGCTCTGTTCGTTTCTGTACATTTTAGCCACCAACAGACATAGACCATGGCCGAGAATGAGCCTCTGAACGAGACACAGAAACATGCCAATGGGCGGATCCTGCCCGCCAATGGACACATATCGCCCGCCACCAACGGTCAGGTCCATGCCAATGGCAAGGTGGCCACTCCGGTTCAGAATGGCAATGGGACACACATCGAGGCGCCCTGCTGTCGGGACATACACGGCAAGGAGCCGCCGGACGGAGGAGCACGCGCCTGGCTGGTGATGGTCAGTGCCTTCCTGTGCAATGGCATCATTTTCGGGTTCATCAACACCTACGGTGTGCTCCACTCCCTGCTGACGGACCGGCTGACAGAACTGGGCGATCCGGAGGCCTCCAGCAAGGCGGGTAAGTCTCAAATTATACGGTAATCCCTTTAGCCCGCGGCAAATTAATTCCGTACTCGAGTTGATTGTAATTATGCAGGGCGAGCAAACGAGATTAGATGGGAACTGGACAGTTGTTTGGCACGGTCTGTGGCCACTATCTGTTTCAGAGGAACCCATAATGGTATGGCCTTTGATTGCAGCATCTGGCCTGGGGGGCCTCTCACAAATTAGATTTGGAAAATGTTTATATTATTTATATTCCAATGAAATCATAAATTATAATGGAAACATTATCCCACTGATAACGTGCTTCTGAGAGCTTTATTCATTAATGCCCTGTTGCATTTTATGCCCCGCTGCTTTTGAGTTTTAAGGAATTTCATTGTATTTTGTTTCATTTTGCAAACATTTAGTGTTATGTATATTTCATGGATGAAATGTATTGCCAACTACGCTGTTTTTACAATGCAAGACCTTGAACTTTAAAGATTTATTGAATCAAACCATAAATTCCAATCTGGTTGATTGCAAATGTACGTTAGAAAGTCCAATATTCAAAATTATTATCAATTTTTGTTTGAAACAACCACGCACATTGCTGCTGTGAGGCGTTTGCTCTGTTGTTTCTGTTGGGTTCAATAAAACATTGTAGTACGTAGTAGCGGTGACGATATAGGAATCCAACATCGCACCGACGTCAAGTGAATTAAATTGCTAAAAGTTGATTGAATCACAAAAAGCATTATTCAACAGGCGGCGAGTGCGAAAAGCGAACGGAAGAGGCGATGCCGAGACTCCGGAGTCCGGACTCCGGAGTTGATGGGGCATGCGATGCGGATTCGTCCGCCGGAATGGTCAGCTTGGATCACTGTCATTTATGACTATGTTTGTCAAGGTTTCGGGCTGAGCCGAGGCAGAAGCAGAGGCCTGCATTACGCATACGCAATGGGGGCACGGCCGGCAAAAATGACCGGCAAAAGACAAAAGCCGCAAGCAAAAGTGCATCCGCCAGTGACCCAGTTACTTGGTCGGCCGGCGCTGCCATTGGAAGCCCCTCAAGTGCCGCCTGACAACGATCCTCCTCCGACGAGTTAAGGAAAAAAAAATAAAGCTAAAGCCAGAGCTAGAGCGGCAGCTAGTTCCGCAATATGATTAAAACCTGACGTACCTGATCCGAACCTGAGCCCTGCGGAGAGGTGTCGGGTGTGAGCCATATTTACCCGACATTTATCGGTCTCGATTCATCAATTAATTGTCACCATCGTTGCCGCCCCCTCCTGCCAATTACACAGTTCCATAGACACAATCAAACGGGCTTAGCGAACCATCCACTTACGGCTCATCCGTGTGAGTCGGAGGTCAAGATCAATCAACTGGCCCATTGCCCGTAGGATGCAGCAAGTCCTCCTGCATATTGCGTCAGACACATTGCAAGAGAATAAGATATCTGAATATGAGGCATCCTATAAATATTCTGATCTATTTTGAGCATTGTTCCTCCCCATTCTCTCCACCCAGACAATTGCCAGACGCCACATGTAATTTGGCTCAGTCTATTCCCTTCCGTTTTCAGATTTTTTTTTTTTTTGTATAGAAATTTGGCACCTATCGTCGGGGATTCGGGTATTATCTAATAGATTGCCACGCAGCTCTCGGGCGGATTGCCATTGACTGCCTGCCTGCCTGCCGGATTCAAAGAGAACGGCGAGAAACGTGCGGCATTGACATTGACTGAGATTCCCTCTCCAACCGGCGCGGGAGATTGAGATTTGTGGCTTCTGCGCATGTGGAGGAGAGTTAGATGTCTCCTACTCGTGGCACCATTTCGCTTCTGAACGTGTCCAACATACATTTGTGAAATCCCCAATAGTGGGTCAAGTTCTATTTTAGGAAAACACGCTGCATTTAATATTCTACTTCTATTTATATTTCGGAAAAAGAGCGAAATCTTAGATGCAATCTCATGCTTTTACGCAACTATTTAACAGAGCTCCTTTTTAAGCTGAAAAACCCATGAATGAATAAAAAAACCCGCTGTAAGTCAAAGGTCAAGGCAGATTATTCACTTCCCAGCTAAATACATTAAAAATTATTATTAATAGCTCACGCAACAAATTTGAACTCAAGAATTGAAGGACTCTGATTGTGAGAATAAATTCGGACTGACACGCGAGTTGAATAAAGTTCTTATCGCTGGCTCCTCGTAAAATCAAGTACTATCACTAGAACTACTAGTAATATTTTGATAGTGGACACCGCTATTCGAAGTGAAATCCGCTTTGTCTGATCCATAATTAATATATAAATAATATATAGCCAACATAAAAATAATCTTTACAATACCAATTTGACCCAAAATCTCGCCAATGATAAGCGTCATTTGGCGACACTTATTCTGGGCCCCTAATCGGACTTTGTCATTCGTTACCTGCTTCGGTCCACTGTCCATGTCCCAGACAATGGAAGCGAGTTCCCCGGGGAGCTGCATCTGCAGCTGTCAGATGCAAAGACCCCCCTATCATAGGTTTAGATCGGCGAACAAAGAATTAACCCAATTCCGTCAATCGGACATCAATTTGAAGTGCCAAAGTGGAACAAGCGAAAGTGTTTACGCAAAGCCAACAATTTAATTGGCATTTATTCCCCCTCTGCTCTTGTCGCAGAGTTCAGTAGAAAATTATTGGCGACAGCCATACGAAAAAATTTCAATCAATCTGCAAAATGTATAGTTCCCAGCATCAATTGATCGGGTTTCCGCTACAAACTTTTTTTAATGCTCCCGAGCACCCACCTGGAAATGGCAAGAAACCACCTGGGACTTGGATCGCTTCGCTTGACAATCAACCGCAAGTGCGTGAGATTCGATTTGTCAACCAACAGATTGGTTTTATTTAGTAGAGCTGACAGTTGGGTCAGCTTTAGTATCTTAGGTATAGTCTATAGTATCTATAAGATAAATATTTTGAAATTTATCCAACCAAAATAGGAATTTTACGACATATTTAATCAGTGGCAAATCCCTTGTAGATAAAATGTCTGCGTTTTTATGTTGTTCTTCAAAATATTTAACCAGATATGCATATTTCGTAAATTATGTTTTTTTTAGCCTTGCTTTATTAAAAATGGGTCAACATTTTATTACTCAACTTGAGGCTTATTTAAAAAGTACTTTCCCATTTTAATTGTCAACTCGTTTGTTTAATTATTTGTTCAATTTTTCTCGGGTGAGGCCCTAAATATAAAATACTTTGTATTCCTTATCTTAAATCTTCTACTTACAGCTTTAATTGGCTCCTTGGCTATTGGCACCACATTCCTCTTCTCCACGGTGGCCGGCTGTCTGACCGACAAGATCGGACTCCGGCTGACCACGTTCGCCGGTGGTGTTCTCTCAGCCGGAGGCCTTTTGTTGTCCTCGTTCTTCACGGAGAACATCAGTGCCCTGTACTTCACCTACGGGATTATGTTTGGCCTGGGAGCTGCCCTGGCCTACACACCCACGCTAGCTATCCTGGGTCACTACTTCAAGCGGTACCTGGGAAAGGTGAGCGGCTTTGTGACCGCCGGTTCCAGCGTCTTTACTGTGATATTGCCACCTTGCCTGGACAAGCTCCTGGCGGGATACGGCCTGGAGGCCACTTTGAGGGTAAAGTTATTGTCCACCTTCCAGGATTATTTTTTTAATGTCTTTCGATCTCCCAGATGATGAGTCTCGTGTCTGCCTTCATCATCATTTGCTCCTTCGTGTACAAGCCACTGCATCCGCCGCCAGAGCCACCAAAGAAGAAACCTGGCAGATCCCGCATCAATCTCTTCCTGCGCTCCATCGTCAATGTGGAGATCTGGAAGCGTAAGCGCTTTGTGATCTGGGCACTGTGTGTGCCACTGGCTCTATTCGGCTATTTTGTGCCCTACGTCCACATGATGCAGTTTGTGAAGACCACTTTCCCCGGCGAGGATGTCAATCTTCCAGTGATGTGCATCGGAATCACCTCGGGCATTGGTCGGCTCATCTTTGGCATTATAGCGGATATGCCTGGAGTTAATCGCATGTACCTGCAGCAGTTGTCACTGGTTTCCATTGGCGTTGTTACCCTGCTCCTGCCCCTAACCAACTCATATGTGGTTCTGGTGTCCTTCACCCTGGTCATGGGGCTGTTTGACGGCTGTTTTATCTCCCTACTGGGACCTATTGCCTACGAGATCTGTGGCCCTTCAGGAGCTACACAAGCTATTGGTTTTCTTCTGGGCTTGAGTTCCATTCCACTGACAGTGGGTCCTCCAGTGGCGGGCATGATATTCGACAGCACAGGCTCCTACACCGTGCCGTTGATTCTGGCAGGACTGCCTCCACTTGTGGGATCTTCACTGCTGTTCCTCATCAAGTGCGTCAAGGAGGAGGAGAACGGCGTGAGTGCACCGCGAGCAGTGGTGCTGGCCAATGGAGACATCGAGATAGCCAGAAATGGTCATCATCAGTCGGGGGGTGAGTCCTAAAGTTTAGTTTGTATTATCCTTAAAACATAATCTTCAAAAATGTCATGCTCATTTTAGGCACCAAGTCGAGTGCGCCGCTGATGGGTGCCACAAGTAATGGGGTTAATGGAACAACAGCAGAAGCCACCCGAGGAATCCACAGCAATGGACACGTGGACAACGGAACCGGTTCGTACCCCGACTCTCCTTGGCCTAGCCTTACTCGCTTCTCAGACTCCGCCGCCTGCGACCATCCAAGTAGCTCGTTTCACACTAACCCGGGCACGGGTACTCCCCTGCCCAGTTGCTCACACACTGCCCTGTTGAGCCGGGCTTCTGGCTCTAGGTCCAGCTTGTCCCAGCCCCTGAACGATGACCTCAAGAGGCGTCGCTATACTTATACTGTTTACTAACCATCAGCCTATTGCTTTCTGCTTCTGTAAAATCCGCCTTAGGTGTTCAACGATTTTGTATTCGAATAGCATGGCTAAGTTGCAAGCTTTAGAGCACTCTAGACACTACATCCCAGCACCAAGCATCCCTAACCTTTAATTCCCATTCCCATTCCCATTACCATTACCATTGCTTTGAAAATAGCTTCCTAGATCATAAGCTTTATCGATCGCGACACGCTGTAAATAAACGCCAGCTTTTGTTTTTAATAACTCGGAGTCATTGCATGGGCTACGCTCAAATCGATTGACCAGAAATTACAACCTCAAATGTATTATCATGTATTATCCTTTTTAGGAAAACCGATGGCCTAGAGAAAGAGAGAGAGACAGTCGTCGCACTAACTCAAAATTCCACAAAACTTTCGAAACCAATTGCAAAGTTCTGCCATTTTTTAGCTGCAATCTCCTTGTTTCCGGAATCGGAGGTAACAGCTTTTCCAGCGCAAATTCGAGGTGTTCATTCTTTATATAAATGTATAAACCATATCTACCGCACATGTGTCCAAACATATGCCCATCCATCGGATCGGGGAAGGAGGTTGCCTGTATGTTATCCCCATCCTCCATAAACGTGCATAATATAACTTAGTGTAAGGCGCATTTGCGAAAACCAAATAAAATTACTATTATAATTTTTAATAAACAAAACAAAGAACAGCATACACTTTTTAATTGGTAGGGGCATCAATAGATATAATTTGGATGGGTGGTGATTGAAGGGTTATTCAACCTTTCATTAACAGAACCCTAATGAACTACTACTTCTCTTCACGTTTGGGTTATTGGGACACGAAAGCCCAGAAGATTTGCTGGGTTATACAACGCAATAATTAACACCGAACCACCCCGTTTTGGATCAAAATCGATGACGTTTCGGATCGATGTTGCTCAATTGTCATTCTCAAAGTGATTGGCGTGTCACCGAATGCCATTAGTCAAAATTATAGCTATTTGTATGCGCACACTCTATGTCGGAGGTCCAATAAAAAACGGTCGGGGGTCTCTGGGGGGATCACCCACCTATCACCACCTGTAGCGTGGCTCTTTCTTTCTTTCGCCAGGGAGCCGATCAGACCGCAATCATTGAGTACTACTACGCGTAACAATAGATCGATCGTCCAAACCCAAAGCGGGCAACACGTCCGTCCGGCTTATAAAAACGCGATTGCCCGACAATTGGCTAATCAAAGTGCTGACGGATTTCATCGCGTTCGGTTTAAGTTTCGAGCTCGAACTGGTCAAGGATATAACAACATGTTGACTTGGACGTTATGGTGTGGATTATTGTTCCTGCTGTGGTTTTATTTCCTGTGGAGTCGGCGAAGGTTTTATCTGCTCACCCTTCAGATACCAGGGCCACTTGGATATCCACTTTTGGGCATGGCCCATTGGCTTTGGCACAGAGAAGGTGCGATTTAGATCATATGTTTAGTATATATAGTTAAATATATCTATGACTGGAACCGATTTCAAATCAATTAAAATGGTAAATGGATCGTGAAGTTAACTTGTGCCGTTCTATAACATAGATATCCTAAATGCCTTTGGCTACTATTTGGACAAGCATGGCCCCACCATTTTCTCCTGGCTGGGACCTATTCCCTTTATGATTGTAAGCGATCCCCAGGTGGTGCAGGACATCCTGACGTCGCCGCACTGCATCAACAAAGGAATCATCTACAAGGCAGTGGACGACGGGGCAGGCACTGGACTCTTTAGCCTAACAGGTGTGTGTTTTGGCAGGGATTTTGAAAGGTGTTTAATTGACTTAAACACCACGCAGATCCCCGTTGGAGCATTCACCGAAAGCTGCTTAATCCTGCCTTTGGCCACAAGGTCCTCCTTAGTTTTCTGCCCATTTTCAATAAGGAGACTATGCTTCTGTTGGATAATTTGAAGCCGCTGCAGGAAGATGGTGAGAAGAACCTAATACCCCTGCTGCAGAGCTTCACCCTGGGAATAGCTACTCGTGAGTATATATGTACATAATATATGATTATACGACCTATGATGACTTTTATTTTGTAGAAACTACAATGGGAAGCGATGTGAAGAGCGAGGAAAGCTTCCGGAGTCACTCTCTGCTGGAGCGGTATCAGTGGTGAGTGTTTCTGGAGTCGGACCACTTCTATGCATTAACAGTGTTCTGGAAACCATGACAGATATGTGCTTCTCGCCGTGGCTCAACAGCCGTTGGATCCGCCAGCTGGCAGGAAAGGAATCCCATTACTACCAGGCCAAGACCGAAATCCGGCAGTTTATCAGAAAGGTTAGAGCGATCGGATATTAGTGAGCAACAAACTCAATCTTTTAAACCTTTCAGCTTATTGAGAAAAAGCTGAATGAGGACGAGGAGAAGGAGGAAGCTCTATTGCCTACCATCCAATCTAATGACCAAAAGAATATATTCCTGAATCTCGCCACCGATTTGCTTAGAAGGGGAGTTTTCAGTTGGAAAAACGTCGAGGATGAATCAAACATAATTGTATTTGGTGCCTTCGAGACTACGGCTAACACCGTTTACTATACTTTAATGCTTCTTGCCATGTTTCCGGAGTACCAGGAGAAGGCTTTCGAGGAGATAAAAAGCCTATTTCCCAAAACGGGTGATTTCGAGGTGACCTATGCGGATACTCAGCAAATGGTTTACCTCGATCTGATTCTCAACGAATCGATGAGAGTTGTGCCCCCAGTTCCGGTCGTATCTCGCCAAACTTCACAGGACCTAAAGTTATCCAACGGTATAGTGATACCCCAGGGTGTTCAGATTGCCATTGACATGTTTCACATGCATCGCAGTAAACAGATATGGGGTGAGGATGCCGAGACCTTCAATCCCGACCACTTTCTTCCAGACAATATCCGGGACAAGCATCCTTACGCTTACATTCCATTTACCAAGGGAATCAGAAATTGTATAGGTATTGAATTATTTTTACATTTTTTTCGGAAACTTCAATTAAATTTCATAACTTTTTAGGTTGGAGATATGCCTTGATATCGGCCAAGGTGACTTTGGCTAAGCTATTAAGAAATTACAAGTTTAAGACCAGTTTTCCATTTGAGGATCTTTACTTTGTTGAAGATATAACTATGAAGCTGAAAACTGTGCCACTACTGGAGCTACAAACGAGAAACTAAATGGCTGTTTTTTTTGCTGAGTTGTTTTAAAAATAAAATAAAATTTAAAAATAAATTCAAATTATGTTTGAGTATTTAGTTGTAATATTAAGTTTTATTTAGTAGAAATGGCTTTTTAACACCAGTGCTTAGAAATAAAATTCCAATGTACATTGAAATTTGAATAAAATGGTTTAACGGTTTCGATAGAATTATCGATATCACGTTGGCAATGCGATAAGTCGCAATCGTTTATAGTGTGCCCAACTTTAGTTCGTCCATTTTCCAAAACAGTGTTTTGTTTTAATTCCATTTCCTCGCGGTTTTTTCATTTCTTTAAGAATGTCGCTTACGGATTGCTTTGAACTAAATAAAACAAAGCTCTTCGAGAAGATCCGCGATGGGCTGCCCATCGTGCAGAAGACGCAGAATCTGCTGGACTGCAAGGACGACATGCTCTTCGCCTGGGACGAAAAAGAGTGCTGTTTGCTGGTGCGCAATTGGCGGACACCGCTGACGGAGACGACCGGTGCCAAGCGTGCCGGTGTTCAGTACCAGACCCTGATTCCTTCCAACACTATAAACCTGGACGTGGACCGGGTGCTGGTTTCCAACGAGGGCTCCCTGGTGGCCCTCAGTGGCGAGCATGGCGTTTGTATCCTGGAGCTGCCGCGACGCTGTGGCCAGGATGGTTACTATAATGATGGAAAGGAGCGAATCATTTGCCGCAGCTTCAGCCTTGATAGTCAGCTTTTTCTCAACAACCTGAAGCTAAAGGTGTGTCAAGTGCGCTGGCACCCGTACTCTGTCTCAGATTCAACTCTACTCGTCTTGTTTAATAACAACACTATTCGGGTGTACAATCACTCCAAGCTTCGCTACGTGTGGAAAGTGGGTCCCTCAATTGTACGTGTCGGTGGCAACAGCTCCCTCACAGATTTTGGCGAAGTGGCTGTAGACTTCGATATAGCACCTGCTGCCAAACCCAAGGAGCCTGAGCCTCTGGAGGAAAAAAGCCATACCTTGAATCAAAGCAACAAAAGCTTGCAGAACAAAACGAGCGCCGTAAAGCCGGAAAAGATTGAGTGGCCTGTGATTGTGCTGCGTGAAAATGGTAACATTTACGTCCTCATGACTAGTGTAGATTCGGAATTGGTCCGCCTGCAGGGTCCCATAACTATTACACCTCAGGTCCAAGATAACTACGGCCTGGAATCCTGTGCCCTTATGGTTATTCCGTCTTTACCCCCAACCATTGTTATAGCCGAATCTAATGGAAAAATTCATCATGCTCTACTTATGGATGCGGAAGCTTCCGAGCACTCCTTCAGCGAGGTAGATGATTTCGTTCTTATAGAACCTTCCCAATACGTTATTCACGTTCTGGAAACTGTTAAGCTTGAGCTTGGATTGGCGGCACCGTCCCAGAAAGGTGCCGTAAACCCTTTATATCTGAAGAGGGATCTGATCAACGAGCTTCGCTACTTTGCCTACCATGATGCCGGTCTCCACGTAGTGTCCGTAAGCTTCATAGCGGAGTTGCAACGCTACTTGGAGAGCGAATCCGAAGAGGATTGCTTGGAATTGACTGCCTCTTCCACAGCCGAGTACATCTTGTGCACCAAATTCGAGTCCAGTGATCGTGTGAACCCAGTCTTCGGATTAGCCCTGCTTCAAATGCCAGCCGGTGTAGTCCTTCTGCTTGGCAGTGGACAGGTGATAAGCCTAAAGTTAGTTATTGATGCAAAGCTGCTGATGACGCCCAGTGAGAGCAAAGCCATCACCTTGGATTCAGATTTACAGGACTGCGGAACAACATTCGTGGATACCATCAAATCGCTTCTACAGCGCAGTGTAAATCAACCCATTCTGGCGGATAAACTTGCCGCTCCATCCGCCCACGAAAGCTATGAGCTGCTCAACCAAGCCATCGAGGTGCTGAGGGAGCAGTATTTGAAAAGACACGACTTGGTTAGGGCTGCCTTTGCCCGTCATATCAATCAGATTCAACTAAAAAGGGACCAGCAGCTGCAAGAGATTCAGGATCTGGAGCAGGAACGCGAGCTGATCAGCGAACGGGCGCACAAGCTGGCCGAGAGATTTGAGGAGATTAGCGACAACCAGGAAGTGCTCGTTCGTAAATGCCACGCCCTTATGCAGAAGGCCAACGTCTCTCTGCCCAGCAACATCGTAGCTGAACGGGATTTCACTACGGAAGTGAATCGCCTCAATATTGTCACCCAGAACCTAGCCACTGGTCTGCAGAATGCCAAGAACACGTTAAACAAACAGCGATATCACATCGCCAAAAGCCAGGATGATCTCAAGCGAAACGCCTTCGAGCTGCCGGAGAAGCAGCATCGCACCATAACTGAGATCCTCACACAGCTCACAAGCGAGATCGACCGACAGATCACCGACGTCAAGCGCATCAATAAAATCGTCGGCGCTTAAAAGCTTTGGAAATTCTATGGTTTAATTAAATGTATAATCTAGCAGGAGCTCGAAAGAGGAATTGTATTAATAATAAACATGTTGTCGATTAAGTTTTATATGTGGCTTAGTTTTGTTTTCAGTGGTGGCATACGTCAGCGGTATTTGCCAGACGATCCTCTATAAAAAATTGAATTTGTTTATGTAATGAAATTAGCTACAGTGGAAGATGTCTAACGAGGAAGAAAAGATTGAAAACAAATGGTTTTTAAATTCAATTAGTAGAGATTTTTTGAATTTTTTTTTTCTGCAAATTCCAAATAATAAAATTCAAAACAAACTGATTTTTCAGATAATTTATATAATATTACTAAAGCCTAGAGCTACTACTGTAAGTTTGGTCTATTTTACCATTTACTATGTAGCCCTTTGGTCGCTCTCTTTCTCTCTGTTGTCGAAACCCCAATGGAAAATATTTGCAAGGCTAATGAAATTCGCTCGATAGCTTTTGCGTTTCAGTCCGTCGGGCTTCAGTCCGAATCGAACTTTGGCGGAAGAGCAATGACATCGATCCTGCTGGCCGTCCTATCCACCATCTGCACCGGGATGTCCAACTACGTCAAGGCGAAGCTTCCGTTCATAGTCGAGGCAGCCATGGTGGTGCTCTGCTTCGCCTCCATCGTGGGACGCTACTGCATAGTGCTCTAGCCCGAAACCAAAAGATCAGAGATCGAAAACTCGGGGACTTGTTATGTGAATCGGCGGAGCTTTGTGTATATATTTTTATGTGGATGTGTCATGTGTGGCCTTATGTGAATACAAACTAGTTGCTTAAAACCTAAACCTGCGGCTTCTCGATCAGATGGATGTAGAAGGCGGGATTCTTTACTTGGCTCATCTCCTTGAAGTCGCCGTACAGCTGATGGGCGGCTTTGGGAGAGAAGATCTCCCCAAGGATGTCCCGGAAGCGCTTCAGTTCGTGGGGATAGTAGGAGAGGCGGAACTCGCTGCTTAGCTTGTTGCCCTCGATGAGGTAGTCCATGGAGACCAGTGCGGGCTTGCCGCAGTAGAAGAGCACGGAGGTCTTGATGTCGGCCGTGTGGCTTGTCTGCAATTAGTCGCAAGTCATCCAATTGGGATTAATTGAATTGAAAGTCATGTAACTGATAAGGGAAACGATGACGATGACGATTTAATTTTAATTTTAAAATCAAAATGAGATGAGCTGGCGTTGCAAAAAAAAACAATATTAGCATCTCTTATCAATGGCATGATGAGACAATATTTTGTGTTTTTTTTCAATGGCAAGTGCCATTTAATAGTTTTTAATTAACACCAAGATGATGTGGCAAATCTCATAGATGATTATTTATTATTAGAGGATACTCACATTATAGTAAATACTTTTGGCGGGCGTGGCTCCAGTTTCCAGGATATTGTCATAGTTTCGGTGATCAATCAGCAGGACTCCACCAGGCTTCAGGCACTTCTCGAAGTTGCGAATGGCCTGTTTGTGCTCCCGCTGATCTCCGAAGCCGTCCATTAAATGGGCAAAGGAGTTTCCCAGACAGATAACAGCATCGAAGCCATCTTTAATGTGCTCCTGAATGTCATCGTACAGGGTCAGCCAGTTGGCCTCTTCAATGACTAAAGAGATAATAGACTTTAGGAAAAACCATTTTGTTTTAATTTTTTTAAGAACTCACTCCAGTTATCGAAAGAAGCCTCCTTGCGGCGATTCCAGCGCTCCTTCAGAGCGTATTTCAACATCTTATCCGATGCATCTACGGAAACCACCTCGAAACCCTCTTCCACAAGCATCAGGGAGTCCACACTGATCGATAAGGAATCAATTTGTCAATATAAATGGGAGATTGGGTCTCTTTCTTCACTTACCCCGTTCCACAGGCCACATCAAGGACCCTTTTGCAGCCCTTTTTCCTCAACATATCGATTAAGAAGTTCTTGTAGTTGTCCGTCCTGGAGTTTTTGTCCCCGATGAAGATCTCCCACACCTTGGCGGCCTTGCCATCGGCATACTGGTCCCTGACTCCTTCGGCGGAGATACCATCGGAACGGGCAACGAACACACTATCGGCGGAGGTGGTCATCTCTGGCGGTCAGCTCTGGTCGGCGGATTGCAGCGAAATAATTTCCGATTGGCACACAGCTCACCATGTTACCTCTCGCCGAGATTCAGAAGCCACCAGCTGTCGGGCTAATAAGGCGTTGCCGTACGCCACATAGCATCAATCCGTAATCTTATCAGTGCCGTCCAATTCGGGTGGCGCACGTCACGGGAGGGGATGTGCGATGGGGCGACGCCGAGAGCTCCAACATCTGGTCGTCGGCGAAACGTGTTGGCCGGCACACTGGCTTTCGCTTTTGGGTTCCTGCCCTAGACCCTGACCCTCCGGTTGAGATTAGAAGTCGTCGATCGCATCCCGTGGTCAAAATAGAATGATATTGCAAAATTGTCAGATCAAGTCATTAGGCAGAGTGAAATCTCTAATGTAGGAAATATTTTAAACAGGGTCTTTTTGGATATTAATAGAGATAATCCATCCTTTGAAATACTAGGAGTTGTTATTTCATAAGTTTAGGAGCATTACTAGGAGCATTTCATGGAGTTTAGAGTATTCATGATATTTTTTATGAAATAAAGAGCCAATTGTATGTTTCTTAGAAACCAAAGACAATCGAATCAATCTATTTTACAACAAAACTTTCCCATAATTTTTAAATCCGTAAAGTCCCTTCATAAAAGATTTCACTGTACTCTGTCTGAGCAATATGACTTGCACAAACTTTTTAGAATTTCCAGTAACGAAAAAAACATTAAAACTAAAAAATAACTAGACAAATCATCTACGTTTAGATTCTGTCAGATAATCTTAAAATTTCATCAGAAAGCTTAACAACTAAAGTCAAACATCCATTTGGTCTGAGTATATAATATTTTGTTTAATTTTCAATAATCTTTATAAATATTGCACTGATTTAAATATTTGATTGGTCTCTATATTGCACCTCGCTGATGTTATGGAATAACCATAATAAGTACCTTAGAGTTAAAGTCACACTGGATGTTCTATAGGAAATACTTAGAGTTCTAATTGATTACGTTTCGCAAGAGAATTGATCCTCGGGGATAATTGTCTTGGGAAACATAAGCCGTTCAGAAGGAGTATAATATATAGTTTAAACAGATCGATTAAGAATATGTAGCTTATGAGCTATGTACATTGTTAACTATATCGGATGGATCCCACTTCGTCTATGGCAAGTAACCCAGCGAGTCCTCCAGCGAGGCGCTCACCGCCCTCATCGACTGATAGCTGCCCATGCGGCTCCTGCTGGCGCTGCTCCGGATCGAGGCTGCCTTCAGGGCCTCCATGGCCTTGAGGTTGGCCAGCAGATTGTCGGCGCTACCGCCTCCCAAGCCCATGCCTCCCTTGATCAGGGGCAGAGGAAGTGGCAACACTCCTGTTCCTCGATCCTGGCTGTAGGATTCACGAGTTCGGTAGGACGATTTCCTGGAGGAGGCATACGATCGGCAGCTGCCGTTGGCTGCCCTGGAGCCAGGACCACCGGATAATCCTCCTTTACCTACCGGACACAGGCTCTTGATGTCCGTGGTCTGGCTAAGTTTCATGTCCGCAAACACCGCCGCCGCCTCCACACTCTTCTTCACACTTAGGGCTTCATGTGGTTGAACTGGCTGGCTGTTTCCACTGATACTGAACAGCTCGTAGTCGAGGCCAAGTTTCTCCGAAGGTTTGCCACCCTTGCGGGTAGCTCCAGCTCCGCTTCCTCCCCCGCATCTACCTTCCCCGGGACGCGGCTTGCTTTGTTTCTTCGAGAGCGAATCCTCACTGATAGCTGCCGCCGCCGCCGCTGCTGAGGAGGATCGTTGGCGTCTCTGGGTGCGTTTGCAGTAGCACTTGCTGGCACTCACACAACTGTCCGAGTCACAAGACGTGGTGGTCTCCGTCTGGGAGTTGTTGGCCGAGTCTCGTTCCATAGAACTAGCCGGCTCCTCCTCCACCATCGAGCAGTAGCACTTGTCGTCCGATCGGCAGGAGACAAGGGAGTGCCTATTGTTTCCTACAGTTGCTGCACTTGCTTTACGAGTCGGCGAGGCCAGAGCCATGTTCCGCTCATTCTTCTGGCGTAGCTTGTGGTTCATGTGCTCCGTCCGCAGGCTGCAGTAGCACCGATCCGCCGACGCACAGGCGCAGGACTCCGAGTCGTAGCTGCACTCCGAGCAGGAAACATAGCTGAAAGTGGAGAAGCTGATCAGGATTTTTGGATTCTGATAAAGTCCAGTCCAAAACTCACCCACTGCTGCTGTTTCGGTTGAGTCCTTGGGCATTTTCGTTTCGCACCACCGACACATCGGAGCCACTGGTTGCCGCTCGGTTCCGCTGGTGTTGATGCTGATGATGCTGAACGTGGCTTTGCAAGATTGGTGGTCCTATGATGATGGGCGGACTGATCTTTCGCTTGCCCTGGCTATCCAAAGTGCTCTCCTTAGACTTCACAGCCGGCTTGGTTAGCTTGCCGCGACAAGACCTAAACTGTCCTAGTGACAAAACCTTCTTCAAAGTCTTGGTTCCAAAGAAACTAGCTTTGGACTTTTTCTGGGGGAGATTTGAGATTACTTTCTATTTAGTGAAAAACTATAAGGAATAACCCACCTGTGATCCATTGACACTGGCCTTTCGCTTCTGCTTCTTTTTCTTTTGGCGCCGCATTATGTTCTTGGAGCGCTGGAATAGCTCGTCCTGGGTAAGTGTGACGGCCAGCTTGAGCAGGAACTCCTTGTAGATCGGCTTCAGATCGTTGAAGGACATGCCGTCGGCATCGATGATGGCGTACAGGATGTCGTCCAGGGAGTGCAGGTTTTCGTGCAGGCGAAATTCGTTAAACAGTTCGCTGAAACCAAGTGGGGAACTAGAAGCACAATTCAAGCGATGCCAATCAACCAGGCCAAACCTTCGCCCCCAAATTGCAAACAGAGTGCCGCCCGTGCCCAGGGAAGTCGGAAGCCGACCCCCCGTTGGCGATCGGTGGCAAATACTCACCCTCCTCCGCCGCCGCCACCGCCGCCCATTTTGCCGGAATGCCTTCGAGCTGCTCTGGACTTGTACCTTGTGAGACCTCCGGTGTTGAGGAAGCTTCCGGATCTGGGAATGGCCACGCGTGTCAGGATGTCTCCGTTGGCGGGAACTACGTCTACGACGGCTGCCAGATCAGAGGTGGATTTCTTTCCGGGATGTCCTAGCCGGTTGACGTGTCCGTTTCCGCACACAATGCTGCCACTGCGGGATGGAGGCCCTATTCTGTGACCGCCCGAGCCGGGGATAGTTGTGGGTACTGGAGGAGCCCGCTTCGATTTGTGGGACTTCCGTCTGCGCTCCTCGGTGGAAGTTTCCAGCTCGGCGGCCTCATTGATGACGTTGCTGTGTGAGCTCAGGGAACTGCTGGACACACGCTTCTTGCGCCCGGATCGGGAGGGTGTACCGCCCACACCAGTACTGCTGCGGAAGGAGCTCCTTCGCCCACAAGCACTAGGCGCGATCTGGGACCGCGACAAGTAGTTGGAACTGGTCATGGCCGAGCTGCTGGCAATGCTGATGCAACTGACTCCATTCTGCTGCCGAGGGGCTCTCCGCTGCGTGTTCCGCCTCGAGCTAGTGCTTACGTGGGCCATCAGACTCTGGTACAAAGTGGCAGCTATAACGATGGCATCCTCGGTGCTCTTGCAGATGAATCCATGACACTCCAGAACCTTGGGTGAGCTAGCCGAGCGCATGACCACCGCAAAGATAGGTGCATGGATGTGAATGCTCTGCTCGACGGCCAGCTGTTCACTAGAGCTGTTGGAGATACGTTTTTAGTGTCATCATGGGGAGGAGCTGCCATCCAAACTCACCTCAGTGGTTGAAACAGGGAAGTCTTGTCGATGTTCTCGGGATCGGTGATCAGAGGCAGAAAGGCCGCCCCACCATCGTCATCCGACATGACGAACTTCACCGCCGACCACACGGCTATGTTGTGGAAGGGCGTGATGAGGGCCTCATTCTCCTCAGCTCCCTCGGGGCTGGACCCATTCGAAATGGCCGTAGCGCTGACCTTTACCCGCAAGCCCGTGGCACAAATGTCCAAAGAGCCAGAGCTCAGTTTCTATAAGATCACATGGATTATGATATGAATAGGCTAGTAATTATATTAGACCCACCTTACTGGCCACCTCCGACAGATAGAGCTGACGCAGTGGCTCCTGCAGACCCTGCAGGCTCGTCACCTTGTCTTTCAGCGGCAGTGATCCCAGGCAGGTAACATCGAAGCTACTGGTGGCGTCCTTGGCCACGTCCGTAAAGAGTTGCTCGATCTGGGCTTGCACACTGTTGCTGATCCGCTGCACATCCTTTTTGGCCGCCTCGGCCAGCACCTTGGCCGACTGCCCTGTATTGTCCTGCAGGAAGCTGCTCAAGGAACGGGGTGGATCGCCGCCAGTGCTGGCCAACTCACTGCGCCCATACATGATGATGGAGCGGGTGCGATGCGATCCCCGGGGATCATCGAGGCGGCTGCTTCGCATGGATCTAGGGTTTTATAAAAAATATAAGAATAAGAATACTGCTTAAGAAAAGAGTTCTATCTATCTTCTAGTTTTGATTGAAACTCTAAAGAAGGGAGCCCGTTCTAAACTTAGAATGTAACTTCTAAAGCGTATCTCCGCTTAACTAACCGCACCTTAGGAAAGTTATTCTGTTACTGAATATCTATACAAATTCTAAGGAGTTTCCTGAACCAAATAACTCACAAAACAAACAAATCTTGATAAAGAAAATCTTTCCGATTAAGAATTTATTGGCTGCTATAAACATTTTACAACCTGTTCTGCAACCATCACTGAGGTGCTGGAGAGTGTGCGACAAAACGGTTACATTTTTGTGAAAGTTTGACTGATTAACGCAAAAGTAAACGGAGATTAGCATATTCGATTCGCGACCAAGACCGACTACGAGTATGTGCAAATTTGTTGAATGGAGGCTGGAATCGGCTTGACCACATCCTGCTGGCCAGGTCACATCTGGGTTCTTGTGAATCTCGGGGCAGGAAGAGCCGCAAAGAGTGAGAGAATCTGGCCAATGACCACTGACCAGTTACCATTGGCCGAATGCAGCTTAAGGTGTTCCCAATTCGAGCCATTCCGTTTACCGCTAGTTGACATAAAATCGGAAATGCTTATTTCCATAGAACGTCGTCGTCGACGTGAGTTTTGAATGGGAATATTATGATGAAGATGGGTTTTGAAGAGGGGACCTCTCATAGGTTTCATTCTCAATCAATTAAGTAGTTCGGCGTCGCGAATGTGTGTCACCGATAAATATTTCGATCTATCTATGGATTCCATGGCTTCTATAGCTTCTGTGGCTCTTTCCCACTTTTGCCTCAGACAATGTAGTTTTTAATTTTGAAACTAACTGTAGTTTTCGTCGGTTATGGAAATGCAAAACGGTAAACGCTGCCAGCAGTCTCTTTTATATTTTATTTCTTTTTTTCTGTTGGGTATCTCAGGTGAGAACTTGGCGTAAATGGATCTCCATCTGTATCTGTATCTTTTGGTTTATCTGTATGTATATCTTTCGGTGGTTTAGAGAACGAAAGTGTTGGGTGGTCGTTGAAAACCAGAGAGTGAGAAAGATAACTAATTGATTTGTTTTGGCCAGAAATGGAGAGCGAACCTAATGGCCAAAAAACACACCTCCCCAGGCTATTTGCTCTAAATTACCCAGCTAGTTTCACTCTAGGACGTATAGTCGTATCTTTTTTTGTAAAAGAAAACTCACCTGGAATCGTCAAACATAAGATCTATCTTGAGTTTGTAGATCGAATTGCGGCTGACACTCGAATTGTTTTCGAGCTGATCGCCGTCCAGGAGCCGGAAGCCGGAGGAGTTGCTGTTGCTCTGGCTGCCGGCGGTGGTCTTGCCCCGGGTCCGGGGAGCATTCATTTTGGGCACAACGGCGGCCACCGCGGATTGGGAGTCCACCTTGCAGGTGACCATCATATAGCACTCGCGGTTCCAGCTGCGAATCACTTCTTATTTGTTCACTCTGTTCATATAGGGGTTTGGTGTGCAAATGTTTGCCTGTATTTCGTCTTAATTCGTATGCAATTAGCGGTGAATGCAATCCGTTTAAGCGCAATGAACGCTAATTTTCGACATGTTACCGAATTACACGAGCCTCAGCTTCACACTTTGCATATGGTAAGTATCTGACGGATGCGCAAATTCGCGGCGTCGGTGGAGAAGATGCGGCATGGCGTGCTCCATCACGGCTCATTAATTAGCTCCTGCTGCTACTGCTGCTGTAAATCAAAAACCAAAAAACCGACAAGTTTTTTTTAGCATTATTAGATTAAGGCACACCCCTAAGGAAGCCCGTAACCGAGGAAAGAAACACCATTAAATTGTATTGCAAAATCGTTCGGTATTAGCAATTGGTTATGCTCGTCTATTTTGCCAACAACTACTGCTTTTGGCCAACAAAAAAGGGGCCCGGTTTTTCGGAAACTTCAACTTATAAATTGGCCAATGCAATGCAATTGTTTATATCGGAAAAATGCTGTCTATGTTTCGCAAACGCACCACAAGATACACGAGCGAACGCGTTAATTCGGATGTATCTATGAGATACTTTCACTATAGCGATATTCGCGGTAATTAGCAAATGCCACAGAAAATACACGTACTTATCAACAAATTGGTGTAGCAGCCATTCGGAAATGGCATTTGCACTTGAATGCCTTATTGAACTTTAACGTGGATGCACTTGAATATAGGCTTTGAATTTTTAGATTGGGGATTATGGGTTTCGGATTAACTAATCCACTGGAGCTCCGAGACCGGTGGTGGTCCGTGCGAGTTCGTTGAATGCCACAAAGCGACTGGCCGGCCTCGAAACGTCGATGCGCCTCAGACTCGCCTCAGAAAATCCGACCGAGAGCGGAGAAAGAAAAGATATGAAAAGAAATGAGCTGAGCTGAGCTGTGGGGAGGAGCTCTCAGGTGGGGAGCTCCAGGTGGGGGACCATAACAATATCATCGCTGGCGTAAGTGGGCAGCACAATGAGAATGCCTGAACATAACTTTTGTATCCGTATCTGTGAATGTATCTGTTTATGCACATGAGCAAACTGTTTTTCTTCCAGCGATGATGAAGACGAACGAGTCCGCCAGACACTCGCCTTTCAACACCAACAATCACTTGCCCAATGCTGTGACACTGAAGACTCCCCGATCGTTGGATTATGTATTATTATTTGCATACCACCACCGAAAGCCATATCCCCGAATATCCAAAATGTCGTATGTGAATGTCGCGGAGCATTTGCGCAAAGTCCGTTGCATCTTCGGGCCAATGTCAATAGAGTGTTTTTGGATGTTGGTTTGGTCTCCCACCTGCAATTAAATAGTTTTTGGAGTCGAGTTGCCGGTGGCCCGGGTTTTTTTATTTAGCCATTTTTAGCCATTTGCGCAAACTCAGTAGCTGTGACGAAGGGGGGGCTTTACTTTTTCAAACGCCACTGAAGGCATTTTCGAAATCAATGACCGTGGTCAAGTCTTACGATAATTGGAGCTGCCCGCGGCCAGTTTTACCTCATAAAATGCATTTAATTTTTCACTTTACAAGCCCGGCCGGCCAAACGCTGCTGGAAACTGAGAAGAATCCCAGCTCGTGCTCCCTCGGGGAGCAATAATTTAAAGTCATAGTCATAGTAAGTCATACATGCAAGCTTATTATGTGGCTGATCTGGAAATTTGCATTTTTAGTTGCAAATTAGAATAAACAAAGTGTGCCTCCACAAGCTCTTCTGGCACTCGTCTTTTGTGATTTATAAGCTTTCCGCATTTGTGGCCGTAATTCAAGATGATTTCAATTAAATGCCCCGTTTCAATTTCACTCATAAAACAAATCTAAAGAGCCGCCTTCCGAAACCATTTCTTTAGATTGAAACAACTTTCCACCGAAGTCGTGCGATTTCCATTTTAGATTTCAATTTTTGATGGCATTCGATCGCAGTGTTTCTGTTTTGTCAACATTTTCGGTTTATTCATGAGGTATAACAGTAAGACGAGTAATTAAAATTGGTCCAGCCATCCATCCGATCCACTGGAGAAACAAAACGAAAATGCAAAACGGACTAATTGACATTTATTGTGTCTTGTGCCTGCCCAAGAAAACTCTTACTTTTATGGCCCTTCGGCCTCTGGAGCAGACCCTTGAAGCTATTTGATGGGCAACTGGTTTCGTTTTTTATGGATCGAAACTAAAAAAACAGTTAATAAGATGGTTAAGAGCCGATAGGGAAGAACCTGATCTGAGCCTGAGCCCAAATGACTTTGGGCATTTTCATTTTCAACGGTCTATACGAATTGGTAGTTTAAAGAATTTTCTTTTGTTCCAGATGGGCTTTTACTTTTTAATAGAATTTTCCTGTGGAGACCGACTAACCGGGCTGAAACCGTTAACATTTGGTGGATGGGATGGATGCTTTGGGGGGATGGGCTGATGGTGTTGATGGGCGATGTGATTTATTTATCAAATAACAACATACTATCGCGATCATCACTTTCTCTATTCAATTTACCAGGCTACGTGTTTCTGTGTTTGTTTTTTAAGGTTTGTTGTGTATCTGCAGCGGCAACTATTTCAAAAATTAGTCGTATTTTTTTGTGTTTCTGTTTTATGTATTGTATTTGTTGGATTGTCTGAAAAGGCAAGCGCAGGCAAGCTTGAAGATACAGATACAGCCGGAGGGTTGAGCTAGGTGCGCTCCGAGAGATACGCTTGATTCCTTCGCGCTCGTCTTGTGCCCAGCATTGCGTATCTGACATGCGCAGCCACTGAGAGAAATTTCTGGTGCCTCGGGCCGGCCATAAATCTAATGACCAGCTCCCCAGATACAGGCATTATGAGAAGAACATTTTCCACTGTGCACTCCGCACTGCAGAGTGGACAAGTTCGGCAAATTATTCAAATCATTTACACAAAAACATTGCGCAATTAAAGTTTCATGACTTTCCCTAAGCGATTATGTGCTCGGCGAGACTTTCTTTGTAGAATCCCAGCCCCGTCCCAGAGAAAAGCCATGTCTCTGCCCTACTGAGCTCCATGAGGCCAATTCATTCATTAGCTGCCACCAGCCGTTGCGTCACGAACCCGAATCCGAATCCGAAATGAGACTTCAAAAAAAAGATGGAAAAATATAAAAAATACACACGACAATTGTCGCATTGTGCTACTCATTACGGCATTTCTCGCCTTCTTTACAATTGCAATTCACTTTTCGCCACGGATGGCACTGGTGGTGCGGAGTAGAGCGGTGCTTCACCGGTGGCTTCAGCGGGTGGTTAAAAAGAAATTAATTTCTCGCCTTTATCCCACTTTGCAATCATTTGCTGGCACATTTGGACAGTTTTTGGTTAACGATCTGGCTACGTGACTTGGCCAAGATCACGACCACTGACCCGCAGGGTTGAGGAGTTCGGCATCCCAAGTTACACACATCAAGACATCAAAACTGCTCATCAGGTTAGGTATGAGTTATATAAATCTTTTAAGTCATATTTTCATCATTGGCAGTGGAGTTAGACATGCGGCTCATAAGGTTTTTATGTTCTCTTTCTTAAGTAAAAAAATACTACATTTATTAGCTGATCTTTAATGTGTTGTTTTGAAGAAATTATTAGAAAGGTAAACAAACTACTCTTATCTCTTAGAGAGCCTATTTAAATATTTACAATCTGCTAAAAGGAGCTTCCCTTTTCCGACCATACCTCTGACGCGTGCCAAATAGTGGCTTGGCACGAAAACTGGCTTTTGGACAGGCCGAGTTATGGACACTTTGCCGAACAATGCCCCTGCCACACTGCCACCGGGTGGAGAGTAGGTGAGGCATCGCGGCGCATTACTCCAAAGATAATGAAATCCGACAAAGAAATTGCCCAAAAGAGCGTGACGCCCGGCGCTGCCTGCTCATGAACTCTGAGCTATAAATTGCCATAAGCATTTGCATTTGCATACCACATGCCCATGGACACGAAAATTCTGAATGGGAATTCTTGGGCTGGTCGAAATGTTTTATGGCTTTGACTGAAAAGTTGCCTTTTAATTGGTCTTTTCAACGCCGTTTCAAAGTTTCTTCACCCATTTGTGTAACTCGGTTAGCTGGGTTCAAATGGCGCGTGCTTTTTGGGTCAACTGTCCGCCCACCAAGCACAAAGCGGTAAAAGATTTAAGCCAAGTATTCGCATTGACACCATCTGATTGCTGGATGGCCAACAGGCTAACTGGCCATCTAACTGTGCCCGTTGTGGCCCAGTGCTAGTGCCCCTACCGAAGATAAAATCATAATTTCGAGAGATAATTGTTTTCTTGTCATTTATCGCATGCGAGGCGAAAGTTTGCACTTCTTGGAAGGTGGTAGAAAAATAGATTTTCTTTATTGCCGGCCATAATTACGAGGTGCGATCCCAGTGACCATTGGGGCCGCTGGCTAAATTAAGGGCCGAGCCACTTCTGGACTGTGGATTATTGTAATTGCTTCTATTTTTGGCCAGCCAGCTCTCAGCGGGTACGGTCTGACCTAGGCCTTTGTTGAAATTGAAATAGGAATGGTAATTGCCACAACAAACCATGAAGCCCATAAAAGCAATCCCCTCGGAGGTGATGCATTGCCAACAGTTGGAAGACCAATTGAAACGTTGGGGCAGTGCATTAGAATGGTTCATTAGCACATTCTAGTGTCCCGATAAAGAGATTGTTCTCGGCTAGCGGTAAACCGGTGATTGGAAATGGCTCAACGCACGATTATAGCCGCATCCATCAGAGAACATGGCTAGTCTCGGATCCAGTCGAGGAGTTATGGCTGTGACCCACCTTTCCGATGGGGAAACAAGTTGCATCTCACAGCTGAGGCTCGCAAGACTTGCATGCTCCAGTTTCTGAACCGCGGACCTGTCACGCAGCCTCCAGTCGAGGAGAAAATCTGAAAATAATTGCAAGAAAAGCCGAGGAGCAGATCCCTCTCCTAGAAGACGACGACAACAATTGCGGCCAGCGGACAAAGACCATCTTAAAGCCAAACGCTCGGCGGTAAGTAGGAGACCTGAACGAGTTTTGCAGGAAAAATGACTTCGATGATGTTGATATTGTCGATTCGAATGTTGTCGCCGTGGAATAAGAAGCTACCTGAGGAAATCCCGCTAATCGAATAAGCTTACGCCGCTTTGTTGTTAACAAGGCTTACACATATGGCTGTGTCCAGTTTTTATTGACTGGGCCATTCTTGGTAAATAGAATGCCACTGCTTGTCGTCTTTTTTCAGGCAATTAAGATCGGCACAGAGAAGAGTTAATTGGCGTAAAGTGAAATAAACGCCATTGAAAAGACAGTTAACAGCTAGACAAATCATTAAACGATTTGAGCCACTTGATTTAAGATATTTACTGAAAATAACTGGCGTTTCAAAGCTTGCAATAAATGCTTCGAATATAAACGTTAAAATTATAAACTGTAGGAAGTAGGAAATCAAATGCAATACCCACATGTCGTATGCGCAATCTTCACCCGAAATCCATTGACCCACATGACGTATACGTAATGAAATATATTTTCTACGAAAAATGTAAAAACTCAACTCTTACCTCTTTCTGCTGCAAATCCATCACATTATCCAATTCACTTCACACTCGAGAGATTATAAATTGTTTGAATTTTCTTCTCGATTTAACTCGGTGCCCGGGTGAAAACTTTCTTTGCGAACCCCGCAATCAAAGTACAAATTCAGCGTTATTTTCTCAATGAGTCGGTCACGTTCCTATTCTTCAGTTGGCGACATCACTTTCGTCCGCCCGTAATTTGCATTTGCATTTGCACACTTCGAGTCCGAGAAAAACTTGGTGTGGAAGACCTCGAAGCTGCCGAAGAAGCGACCGGAGCGCGCCAAGTCAATAACGAGACTAACTGCTGCAGACCAATTTCGATGCCACCACGAGCCTCCACGACGATGCAGATTCACAGAAAGAGAGGCTCATAGGAATAGAGAAAGAGACGGCAGGAAAGCCGGTGCAGTGGCGAGTTTTTGTTTTAGCCCCACAGAGCCACATGCGTGGCCAGTTGACGGCGACTGAAGTGGATTAGCCAAAAAGTTTGGCCAGCCGTCGTAACCCGCGGCTGTGAGTGATCTTAAGTACGACACTAATAAGGACAATTTGCCATGCTCAAGTCAACAGAAGTCACAAAGAGTTTGTCTTACAAGTTTATCTATTTTTTAACAAAGTAAATGGTATACTTTTTCTGTGGCTTTCTTGGGAAAACTCAATTTAACAAAGTTTTTTTTATAACCACATAGAGAAGTAGATATTTTTCTGCTTGAAAAATTCGGAGGCAAACTTCTATTCTATTATGATTATACTCATATGTTATATACCATAAGCTCATTAAAATATATTTTATTTAAAAGGTAACAATAAAAAGTTACTAATTAGCTAATCAAAGCTATAAAGACACCTAAAGTAGCTACCGTACTTTATTTTAATTTCCCCTCCTCTTCTCTAATAAAACATAACCCAATTAATATGCAGTCCTCGCTTGTTTTTGGAGCAGGTCAGGTCAGGCTCATCGCTCGTCCACCTTGACTCGATGTCGGGTAGAGCTGGCAGCCCAGTTTCCATTAGCCGAAAAGTGGAAAAACCTGCGTGGACAGCCGTGGTTGCGGCTGCGGCCCAAATTGCCGCTGTGCCCATTCGCAAAATGAATCTTTGGCCAATATTTGAGTGCACCGTTAGCCAGACTCAAGACGATGCTCAAGGCACCCGGGCCAAATTAATTCATGTTTCGGTTGTGGCCAGTTCGTCGATAGCTCTGGCCCCGCATATTCATGCCAAGCAACTGCATCATAGGAGGATCGCTGCATCATAGCCAGGAAAACAGGTTGGCGGGCCATAAATGGGTCAATCTCCAAGAATCAGAATCAGCATCAGTGGCAGAATCAAGAGCTGTGCGGATTCGGCGGACAAGTGTCAGGTTCTGGTGCAACCCACAAAAGATGAAGCTGCTCTGGTCCAGTGCCCGACTCATCTCGCCCGACTCCTTTGTGGCAGCCACTAACTGGGTCACCCGATCGTTGGCGGCTGTTCTAGTTCAATTCGGTGGATTTAGTTGGGCAACTGCGACCAGGTGATGTGCTCAGAAATGTGCTACCTGGATGGAGGGGCGCATAAAATACCATTTACCGTAAACGGCCTGGCTCCTTGCAGGCGATGCCCCATTTTCAATTGGACTCTGTCTGTCAGGCTTTCCACTTCTCGGGTTCGACAGGCATTAGAAAATAATTTCAAGAGGGGATTACACCAGTTGTATAACCATGTGGATTGCCAACATAAGTGGGTTGAGCAATATTTAATGTCTTAATCTGATAGATGGAATGGTGTTGCAAGACAACTTAACATATCGACTAATCTTAGCCAGCAGATTCTCTGGCCATTTCGGGTTAATGACTTTTTAAACTAGTTCTTAGATATGTATTTACTTTTTCAATTATTTCTTTTAGCTTACATATTTGTATTTGTATAACAAAACTTAAATGTTCTATGGTCCTTTAATAGAAAAGGGAAAAATAGGGAATTCTTCTTTAATACTTTAATAAAATAATACTCATTTACTTTCAAAAATGTTACCCATTTTGCATACGATTGACAACAGAATACCAATTATTGTTCAGAGCTATATACTGTATATTATTTAGAGTTATACTGTATCATGAGTCACACCTTTGAAAAATGGCGAAAAATGGGTCAGATTTTAGTTTCACAGGTACTCAAAGATTTAAAATCGTGGAGGTATACCATTTTTTGATCCGACAAGTATTAGCCAAGTTATGCCTAATTCCCTGGAAATAATTTAGTCTGAAAACCCATTTAAGACCGTATGTGTCAAAATACCACCCTTTTTGCCAGTCAGTCAACATCTGTCAGTCAGTTATGGCAGGCTTTTACTTTAAATTAAAAGTCCAAGATCCCAATGATCATTAGTTAAAATTTCTGTTTCACCAATGCCCAAAAGAATGCTACAAAATTGTAGACTTCCCTTCAGAAGTATCTGTAAGTTACATGTCAAAGAAAATATGTTTTACCCAAAAGCAAAAGATACGTTTTCTTGGGTTTAGTCTTGTTTCTTCCAAAGTTTATTATTTAATCACTTTTATAAAAATATACAATGTTATTGCTTAAGTATTACCGACATTCGTATTAAGGTTCAACGGATTAACATATTTTTGGTCGATTACGTTTAGATACATTTTATTTATACAATTTTACGTATTTGGTTCAAGTGAATACCTATCTTCTAGCTTGGGTGCTTCTTGCTTTTCAAGGTTTTAGGGCCAGCTGACATTACTAAAATACTAGCAGTTGCAATAGTTATTTATTGTTTCGATTTGTTAGTCCCGGACTCTCTCATTTCATATTCATAGCTAACTAAAACTAAATAATTACAGAAGTCGTACGCTAAGAACACTGGCTTTCCTAGGAATTCGCAGGGCTGGGTACGATGGACGCGATCACGGTGATCAGGAGAAGCAGACCCATTAGGGGCAGGTAGCTCCGATAGGTTCCACCTCCGGCAGTCGCCGAGCGGTACTCATCCTCCGGCAGATACTCCCGGATGTGTCGCGTCTTGTTCATCATCCAGTAGAAGGCTCGCATGTTACCCAGCTGCTTCAGTTCATCGCCGATCACGTTCCGGATCTTGGCATTGTACTCGTTGAGCAGCCGCTTCTCCACGGCACTCAGGAGCGTGCTGTCGATCAGCTTGGGCTCGTAGGGTACCATGGTGACGTCTTGGAATGCAAGAAAGTGTCCGCCGTTGGGATGGGTGTGACCGGTGTCCACCACTTCGAGCACGTTCTTTAGGCGGACTCCGAAGTCATTACGTTTGTAGTAGCCGGATTCTGTTTAAAACAAAAAAACCAGAAGAGATTTATAACTTTGGGCCAGGAATGTGTTAATGAAAGGTGTGTCCCCTAGTTGAAACACCACTTAAAAATTTTAAATCTGGAGCCAAATTTTAGCTGGCCAGGTTTTGATAAAATACGATGCTACTCGAAGATAAAAGATCCGAAAGGTAAAACATTTGCAAATGAAAATATAAAGTATATTTACTTACCACTTGAAAAAAAGTAACCTTCCTTAAAGTGGAAGCTGTTGTTCTGGCCATAAGCCACGGCAATCGGAGCTGTTGAGAAGAAATTAAATGACTGAATTTAAGGAAATCTTTATAAAAGTTAATAAGCTCTACTTACGCTCCTCTACGGATCCGTAGGCTCCTATTCCATGGCCAGTCGCTTGGGGATAATCCGTCATGTCCTGCCATACCATGCTGCGCACCAAGGCATCTACTTCAGATGGCTTCAAATCGGATGGAAACTTGAGCTGGGCCAGGTGCAGAATTCCAGCCAAGACACTGGTGTAGGCCTTTTTCATTTCTTGAGTGGGCTCACCAAAGATGAACGTACGCGAGACGTCGGTGGTGCCCTCCAAGTACTGCCCTCCCGATTCGATGACCAGCAAGCTCTGATCGGAGACCTCAATGTTGGTGACATTGCTGGAAATGTAGTAGGGCAAGGCGGAATGCTCTCCGTAAGCCACCACTGTTCTCAGGGACAGTCCCTTGGCATGCTTCTGCGACAGGCGCCATAGCTCCACCTCGTACTTGATTTTCTCCTCCGTCCACTGCTCCGAGTTGTACCTGGCCTCCATGTTGCTCAAGGACTCACAAATGGCAGCTCCGTCCCGGACGTGAGCCCTCCTCATGCCGGCCTGCTCCACAAAGTTCTTCTGCGCCCGCATGAAGATAATGGGGGAGATCTCCCAAACCACGATCTTTCCCGGCATCGATGTGTAGATGGCCTCCGATGCACCCATGTCCTGGACACATGGTGCGGGGACGAGAACCCTTTTCCAGAGCTGGGCATAGGTGCGAATGTCACTCCAAATTTGATTGTATTCCTTGATCCTTAAAGGGCGTTTATTGATTAAATAATACTTAGATTTTTAAAAGATACTAGACTTACTTTACACAAACCTCATTGAAACAATCAGTGCGCAGATGATAGTCGATATCCAGACTGAATTTGCTGCGATCCACGTAGAAGAACAGATCATCCTGACTCACAATGGCATAGGACTGCAAAAAATACATATAAGTTTGGTACAGGATTTCGAGGACATCTTCTACCTTGACCACGGGAGTGTAGGGAATATCTGTGCCACGGATATTGAACAAATATGCGATCTCCGTCAGCGAGGTAATCACTATGGCGTCACATCCCAGGTGAGCCAGTCGCCTCCTCAGCTCCCTGACCTTGTCCTGCCACTTCTCCCCCGCAAAGTCCTGTTTGTGCACCCTGATCACCTGACCCGCTGGCGGTGCTGGTCGCTCGTCACCCCAAATTAGATCCACCAGATTGTTGTTGATCTTCACCAGCTTCAGAAACTTTTCCTCCAACTCCCGCTCCCACTGCATCCAGAGGGAGTGAGGAACCAAATGCGGATCGGCGCCCACCCGCAAGTCGTACTTCACATGGCTGCCCAGCCATTCGGCCACCGAGACATTGCCGCCAGTCAGATAAATCTCCCAGTCGCACTCCAGCTCTCCGTCCGCCTGCTGGGCGTACCGGTTCTCTACCCAGATGGCGGCGCCTTTGTCGGTTATGGCGGCAAAGGCCCGTATTCCGGAGTAGCCAGAGAGATAGTGTAATCGCTGATCGCGGACGGCCACCTCCTGGTTAAGGTGCTCGTCCATGGTGGGAAGAATGTAGCCATTAATCTCCGGACCCTGCAGCGAGGCGCGAATCTGCATCTGCTCGCGGATAGCCAGGAGACGGGTGTGGTAGACGCTCATGGGTTGGATCTGAGAAATTAATAATTTATTTATTAATATTTTT